TATATATATATATATATATATATATATATATATTTGTATATAATATAATTTATATTTCATTATTTTTAATAATTGAAGCAACATCATCTTTTTTTTTATAATTGAATTATATTATATATATATATATATATATATATATATATATATATATATATATATATATATATATATATATATATATATATATATATATATATATATATATATATATATATATATATATATATATATATATATATATATATATATATATATATATATATATATATATTATATATATATATATGTATATATATATATATATATATATATATATATATATATATATATATATATATATATATATATATGTATATATAACCTTTTACGTAAAAATGCCTTCCATTCTTCAGCTTTCCCATTCCGCTGATCACCATGTCTATTACTTGTAAGTTTTAAAAGTAAAAGATAAAAGGTACGCAAGTTTTTAGAGTTTTTAAAGCCAACATTACTACTAATAATTATTTCTCTCCAATGTTTAAATTAGTTAAAAAAACTTGAACAATAGAACAATCTGTCATCAAAGAAAAAAAAAGTTTTAAAAGATAATCCTTGTAGTTTTCCTTTTCAAGAGAAAATAGCTGAGACATATCAGTGAGTACATTTTTAAGCTCACCAAAGCAAGATTGTGCCTCACCAGAAAACATATCCTCTATCTCAAATGTGTAGCTACCAGATAATGTTGCGACTTGAAAACTACCAACCTCCTCAAAATTGTATTTTGTGCCATCTTTATAAAGAATATTGTGTGTATTATCCAACATTTCACTAAAAAATTCAGAAGCTACAGTTTTTTTAATAGTTTGCCACATTCCTGAATTTTTTGTAGTACTCTTCTGATAATAGATTCAACATTATTGACAGAAACATTTTTACTTAATAGTTCATAATGCACAGAGGGAATTTCATCATTATATTTCCCTCCTTCAAAAACACCAATAACATTTTTTTTTTAATATGCAACTCTTTCCTTCAGCTCTTCTGTAAGATTTTCAAAGTAATTTAATTTCTCTTTTACAGTTTAATCATTTGTTTCATCAGCTGTTTTCGAAACAGTGTTTTCAGTTTTTTTTTCCTTTTTCAATCTGATTGTAAACACTTTCTAGCCAAATTAATTCCTTTTTCCAATTTCAAATTTTTTTCTAATAATTGTTTAATCTTGCAATCCTTTCTAACATTTCTTTTGTTAACTTCTCTTTTGTTGGACACTATTTTTTGACAAGATTGCTCAATACTTATTTTTATTAATTTGTTGATTTTTATATTTTAGATGATTTTTATATTTCTTCATTTTATATTTCATTATCTCTTTTTATATTTCTTCATTTTATGGGTTAAATCATCAAATGGCAAAGAAGACAAGTTAAGATACAAATCAGAAATAGAATCTTTTTATTAACTTGAGTGTCCAAATGACATTTATCAGAATCATTTGTTAAAGGCTTGTATACAATTGAAGTTAAATTAGAAGGTACATTTTTAAAAGCAGAAATATCTTCTTAATTAATTTCATTAGTGTGGCTAGAAGTTGAGATAGAACAACTATCATAAGGTTACAAACCAACATCAGGAACTTCAGAATAAAATTAAAGAATCATGCTTCAATAATATTTCTTTAAATCAAATTTTTTGGCACAATTTAATTTTGCAACATAGTCTTTTGACTTTTTAAGGCATTTGGCAAGCATGACTTTAGTTATAGGGTATTTACAGTAAGTTGTAAAAAAATACTGATAGATCTGGCATATCAAGGTATGTTTCTCTTTTTCTTTGCAAATTTGTAAAAAACGCCTCTTTGTAACCACAAAATCGGGAAGTTTGAGTGAAATAATGCCACCATCAATATTTAGAAAATCAAAAATGTTCTTGCAGCGAAATTTTAAAAGCTCAAAATAAAATTCAACCTAATTAAAAGTAATTCAAAACAAAGAAAAGTAAGGGGTAAACTAATAAATGCTTGGTTTCAATAAATAAAATTATTGAAATGCGAAATGTTTGTGGTACATTGTTTCTAACTTGAAAATTATTCAGTATCAAAGTATGATTCACTTTTTTTGCCCATAGATGAAAACACCATTGCATGTAGACTATTTCCAATTTAAAAATCTAAAAAGAATATAATTTATATTCAAATAAGTTTTATTAGAAATTTTATTACTTTACCAATTAAAATTAAAAATTGAAAACTAAATTTAACGAAAAGGTTATGAAGATTTGGAAATGGCAAAATTGTGCACTGTTGTGAACAGTTAAAACAATGAGGTGAGTTGTCTGAAATGAAATAGTCATATGACATGAACTTATGCACACATACAGCATATCCAAAAATAGAGAAATAGACCTTGTTAACTCAAACTTCTTACACATTTCCATACTTATTAACTTGTGTCAGGCTTTTAGGTTTTTTTTTTGAAAGAAACAAACAAGAAGAAAAACTTTATACTAGCAGTTATTAAATATTTTCAAAAAATAATTTTTTTTATTTTATCTATTTTTAAGTTTATAATTAAGTGAAAAGAAATCAGAATTTTTTTAACCCAATATACAAAAAGAAACGTAAAATATATAGAAAAAAAAGCATAGCATAGGTAAATAATTTCTGCGCGGCCATGGCGCAGTGGTTAGAGCGCTTGCTTTATAAGCAAGAGATTCAGGTTCGAAATGAGCTTTGGACATATTTTCGCATCATGGTAATGAAGGAGGCACGATCATGGTAATGAAGGAGGCATGACCACCTTAAAGTTTTTAAACACTGAAAATTAAGAAAATATTCATAAATTTCAAAAAGGTTCCTCATTCCATTCTTTATCCTTTTTTTAATCTATATGGCAAGTTTCAAACAAATTTGATTTGTTTTGGTACTTAGAATTTATTACCTTTTAAAACTACTTTTGAAAAAGTGTTCTCGCAGCAAGTTTTTTTACCAATAGTGGTCTCATGACATATGTATATATGGTCTCATGACATATGTATATATGTATATATGAGTTTTTTCCTGGAATTCCTGGAATTCCGGAAATTCACTTGAAAATTCCTTTACTTTTCCAGAAATTTCCGGATGTTTTTTGTTATTAATTTGAAAAAAAAGTTATATATTTTTACATAAAATTTTTAATACGACATCTTTTGCATTTAAACAAATATTTTTTCTATAATTAAAATTTTCACAAGATCAATTTTCTTAACAATTTATTTTCTTTTTTTTTTTGCTTTTTAATTCATTCAAATTAACTTTTTCTAATATTGGAAATTCTTTTTTGTAAAAAGTTAAATAATCTAAATTCCATATAAAGTTTTTGTTGTCTGTTAATACGATCAATTTTTAATAAAATAATTTTCCGGGATTTTCAAAGAAAAAATTCTGGGATTTTCTTCAAGTCAAATACTCATCTATGTATATAATATACAAGTGAAGTCTTATAAAACTTAGTACTTTCTATATATGGTCAACCATACTATATATGGTCTATATATGGTCAACCAACTGGAAAGAGGTTAAGTCAAACAAATGATATAAGAGAGTTAATGAAAATTACGTATTTTTTGTCAAATGTTAAATAGTTTTTGTTGCGCCATGGAAAATCTACCTGATGAACTATTGTTATTGATGATGCTCTAAAAGCTTGTAGGCCAGTGCATTAATTTACTGAACTTTTTTAACTAAATTTTAGGAGCCTATTTAAAACTTTTTTTTAAATTTTTAAATATATTTTTTCAAGCAGAGCAATTGTCATGCTCATCTCTAGTAATTCGTATTAATGTTAGAAATTGGGTAATATAAAGGAAACAATTTTAGTCAGGCATCAATTGTGGCAAATACATTTATAAAAGATATGGATTCACCATGTGCTATTTTTTTATTTAATTTCTTCCGTCATTACAAAATTTAATAATCAAATAATATATTTAATAAATAATTAGCTATTCACTATCTTATTTTTCTCAAGTATTGAGAAGATATGTCAAATATAGCAAAATTATTTTTAAAAGCGAAATGACATGAAAACAAATTAACTTAAAAAAAAAAATTTACAAAATTTCTCATAGTTTTAGCCTATATAGTAAATTAGTTTCTTAATTATACGGACTGACAAAAATTTTATTGCATATCAAAACGTTTAGTTATTATTAAATTTTTATAAAATATAATATGTTATTTTCCTTAACTTGTATTTATGGGCTAAAAATAATATGGGCAAATTTAGGGGCTAAAAATAACAACTACCTTGAAAAAAAAAGAATATAAAAGTTTTAATAAAAATTTTTATATTAAAGTTTTGTTTTTTTTAATTTTCTTTTTTTTAATTAATAAATTTTTCTAGTTTATTTAATTAAAATTTGATCTTTTTTTACAATTTTGTTTCCATTTTTTAGAATTGTTTTTTTTTTTCTCATTGATAAATTAAGCTTTTTGCTGAAAATAATTGAAACGTGAACATATTGCATATCAAAACGTTTAATTGTTATTAAATTTTTATAAAATATAATATGTTATTTTCCTTAACTTGTATCAAATTTAGGGGCTAAAAATAACAGCTACCTTGAAAAAAAAGAATATAAAAGTTTTAATAAAAATTTTTATATTAAAGTTTTGTTTTTTTTAATTTTCTTTTTTTTAATTAATAAATTTTTTTAGTTTATTTTATTAAAATTTGATCTTTTCTTACAATTTTGTTTCCATTTTTTAAAATTGTTTTTTTTTTTCTCATTGATAAATTAAGCTTTTTGCTGAAAATAATTGAAACACTTTAAAAGTTGAAAAATGCGAACTGCCATGGTCAGTGTGTCTAAAAAAATTACTTTATCCACTTTGGATGAACAAGGCATGCAACCACACAGGCTTAATGGGAAGATTTGTATATTGTTATATGTGATTCAAAGTTGTTTTCAACCTTGATATATATTGATAGTTATTGACATAATTAAGTTTTGTGTGAATCTACTTTAATGTTGTTTTTCAGAAAACGAGATCTTCACATCCGTCATATTAAAGGTGGATTAATATTATGCCAAAAATTTTGCTTTGAATCACTTTATGTAAGTTAACTTTTCACTATGTAAGTTCAAAGTTTATTTTATAAAATTTTATTCATATATAATATTAATATGTATCCCACAAAAAATCCACTTAAAATCCCACAGAAAGTTAGACAGCCAGTTTTTTGTTGTCTTGTTGCAAAACTTATAAATATTTTTTTTGCAAGCAAGTAAGCTTAGCATTAGGCACCAGCAGTTTTAAATTTTTTTTAGAAAAACTAATTGCTTTAAGTGGGAGTACCTTTATAAGTCTTTTTGGTTCTATCTAATTTTAATTTAATTTTTTTACATATAACTCATTATGAAACATAAACTAGAGTGAGTTATTATTAATGAATTTTTAAAAAGAGGGAACATTTACTTTATATTTGTGGAACAATTTATTGTGTATTTTCATATATAATGAAACATAAATAATTTATTTTTAAATTTTTTTAGAAAAACTAATTGCTCTAAGTGGGAGTACCTTTATAAGAACATAAAATTTTTATGTGCAAATTTTAAAAGTTGCAAGTCTTTTTGATTCTATCTAATTTTAATTTAATTTTTTTACATATAACTCATTATGAAACATAAACTAGAGTGAGTTATTATTAATGAATTTTTAAAAAGAGGGAACATTTACTTTATATTTGTAGAACAATTTATTGTGTATTTTCATATATAATGAAACATAAATAATTTATTTTTAAACTTTCATAATTTTTTAGACTTGTTTGGATCCTATAAAAATAGGTAGTTTTTACATGAAAGCCATATTATTTGATGAACTTATGTGAATAAAGCATTTATAAAAACACATGATTTTAAATGTTGCAACTTATTTGGGTTTATATATAGATTAACATAAAAATCTTTGTTTTGATGTAGGAAATAAATATATACTAATTTTTTTAGCTTAAAAATTGATGCAGAAATAATAAAATAAACCGCTGGAAAGTTAAGTTAACATTTGCTTATTTTTAATGAAACATTTCTTTGTAATTCTACAAAAAATGCCTCTTTAAAGCAAATTAATGTTGATTTTTCGAACCATTATTATAACGAATTATTTTCAAATAAGATAGTAGTTAACTTAAAAATTTTTTTATTTTTGAGTTAACACTTATTTTCTTAAAAGCTACTCCAGCTTGAGGCAACTATATAATAATTTGAGTTAGTTAACTTTTGTTAATTTAAAAGATAAAAATGAACTGCAGATAAAGAAAAAAAAAAAGTCAAAAAATCGATTTTTCTTTTTGTGTGTACTTTAAAGAGTAATGAATGATTGTAATAATAGAATTTAATGTGAGCCATTTTTGAAGTAAAAAATCTGTAATCCATGAGGAAAGCAGTGCATCAGCAATAAAAAAATTGTACAGCATTAAAAAAAACAATTATGGAGTATTTAGTAATATTACAAAATTTGTGAATTATTGATACTATATTTTGCAAAAGTATTTTGGTCATGAAAAACATGCAAAATAACAAGGATTTATTATATCAAATTATAATTAACTTGCTTTGTTAGATATTTTGTGGTTGCAAATTAATATAGTTAATATATTAATATATATTTCTATCTGGTTTTACCAATTTGACTAAGATATGACCAAGATTTGACGGTGATAAGACCAGCCAGGAACAAATCGTTTATTTTAAGCATTTATTTACAACAGCTGAAAATAATAATAGAGTAGAGGTTGAATGCTTGCTTTATAAGCTAGATATTCAGAGTTTAAACCCAAACCATGTACCTGGTAGTATATCACTTAACTTGTTCCTTGACACAGCATCCTTGTTGAAAATTAAAAACAAAAAAAAGAAATAATTACTCTCTTTGACTCTAAAAGCCTTTGTTTTTACTCTCAAACAATTTTTTAAGTAGTTTTTCTTATCCTATTGTTTTTTCCATAACTCATTTAAAAATACTAATAATAGTATAACAATGATATTAATGATAAATAAATCAGTACTTTTTTTTTAGCCTTACAGTTTCAATACTCTCCTAAAAATCAGTTGCTTTGACTCACCTGGTGGTTTAAGTGTAGCACAAAGTGTTGATCATCTCCCTCTATTAGAATCTTCAAAAAAATCAAAATTAGAACTATGTCATAAAGTTTGCCAACAATTTTTAAATAAAACTAGCTATAACAAAAATGATTGGATTATTCAAGATTTTGAAGAAAAAATATTGAAAGAAAAAGAAGGTTCAATGATAAACTTTAATAATGATTTACCACATTTTAATTAGATTTAAGTTGTACATAGTATGGTCAAATAAAATCTGAAGTTTTTTTCTGTTTTTATTTTTGTAGGTTGGGTTGAGAAGAACAATGTTTTTAATAACACATGGAAAGATAGTTGGTATGCAACACCCCCTGTTGAGTATCCTTCTAGTCAGAAGCAGGTATAATATATCAATAAAAATAATTATATAAAGGAATTATGTTGTTCATTAATTTTTATAATTATGTTTACTTTTAAACAAAGTTTAAACTTTGTTTTATCTCAAAGTCTGATGTTATATAACGAATGCTGTGATTTAAGTCTTCATTTATTACATCATTTTAAAAATGTTTCTGAACTTTTATTTAACATAATTTTTCTGTAAAAAAAAAAATCTGAAAATAAAATTTAAAAAATTTTAAATACTCATTTTTTCTGTCATTCTCTGATCAACTCTATTAACACATTGTTCTAAGGTTAAGTTTTGTAAAAGAAAGAGTTTGGTTTAGTGAAGTTAGATTTATTAAGTTGGCACAATACCCAATAAAGAAAAATTTCATAATGAAAATTGAAAGTTTGTGCTTACTCAATCTGAAAAGATATTTACAACAGCTTACTGCTTTCCAAGCAGATCAAGTATGTCAACTGTACAAGACCAAGGTCAATATCAGCGATTCTTGGTTACCACAAGGACTTTGAGAATTGTGCAGAACTACTTTGCACAGGAAACAAGAGGGGAAAGAAGTTGCACCTCTCTCTTTGTTTGATTTGAAGTCAATACAAGTGAGACCTGAAACAAAAAAGACAAGATGTATTATCGCCTAATCTGCCAAATTAGATGGCCAAAGCTTTGTGTTTGCTGTATAAAGCAAAGAGTATTTGTGCTAAAACAGTATATTGAGTTATTTATTATTAAATTTTTGTGCAGAAAGTCAAAGAACATGTCTTAAAATGTAATCAGATGCTATTTAATGATGATCCAATGTAAAAAAAATTGGATTTAAATAGTTATTTTTCACTTAATTTTTAAAGTAAATAAAAAATTTGTTAGCAGAGATGTATTTTTTAGTTTATTTTACCTACTGGTTGTCCTTTGACCAGATTTTGCTTCTTTTTTTTTAACTTTTTTTTTTTGTGTACAAATATATGGAAAAATGCTTTGCACATTTTAAAGTATTTTTTGCTGTTTACTTGGTATGTTTGCATCATCTGCATAGTATTTGGACCGCAAACTCAAGATGTGAATGTATGAATGTTCTGATGTAGTACTACATGTTCTGATGTAATACTACTCTATATTGGTATACATACTTACTTTATATATATATATATATATATATATATATATATATATATATATATATATATATATATATATATATATATATATATATATATATATATATATATATATATATATATATATATATATATATATAAAATAAGTTTTTTTTTTATAATGACAAAAATTTTCTCTTGAATTATTTCAACTTTTATTTTAATTCATTAGGTTTTGTATCCTAAAAAAGTACTCAAAATGATATTTTTTATAAAAATGGGCTCAATAATATTCTGATTCTGATCTTTCTAATTGTGAAGTAGTTTGTTTAGAATTCAAAAAAAAAAAAATGCCTAAACGTTTGAACTCAACATGTATACTGTTCCAGGCAATACATGTTTTATTTTTTTAACACTAATATACTTTCAATTCAAAATTATATTTTAATTGCTATGATGAAACTTTTAGAAACAGATGGTCTGATGTTGTGTTAGAATTAGATGGTCTGATGTTGTGTTAGAAACAGATGGTCTGATGTTGTGTTAGAAACAGATGGTCTGATGTTGTCTTAGAAACAGATGGTCTGATGTTGTGTTAGAAACAGATGGTCTGATGTTGTGTTAGAAACAGATGGTCTGATGTTGTATGTTCTATGCTGCATAATTTTAAATTATCAATTGTAAAGGATTACAATTGATAAATGGTATCAAATCGATTTGCAGTTTACGTTCTAGGCAAAATACAAGATAAAATGTTTTAATTTGATTTTATTATCTAGTTTATAAAACCGAAAAACTTAACAGCATTACTGTTTCATTACCAATTAGAACTATGTCACATTATGTATAGACATTGCACCTCTAAAAAATGTAACCGAAACATTGGCCAATTCAAATCAAAGGTTTCTTGCAGAAATACTAGGCGATCACAAAAAACTATAACAATTCAATATTTTATATAAACATGATACAAGAAAAAGTTCTGAAATTTGCAGAGTTTCAAAGCTAAACTTCTTGGTTGTTTGTTCATTTAAGACATGTTCACTTAGAGAAATTGTTAAAGTTTATATATATGGAAAAATGGAAATACTTAATATAATGTGTGTTTCATCCCATATGTTTAGATCAAAGATTAAAGTGCCTGAACTGAAACAAGCATACATAGCTCTGTTGCCTTTTTTTGTTAAAAATTTAAAGACTTACTAAAGCTAAACATCGAATGGACAAAATAAGACATTATTTGATCTTATTTTATCTTTTTTTTTTTTTAATTTATTTTATTTTTCTTTGAAATTAAAAACAAAACGTTTTTATTAACGTTGTGTTTACAATTGGTTTTTGTATGGTTTATACAAACTTGATATAAAGTGATGGAACACAGACATCATGGAATCATCTGTGGTAAATAGATGAGGTTGGGGAAGAGATAAGGTTGCAATGCTATTTTGTATAAAGTTAAAAAAACTTTCATATAATATTTTGTTTGAATTTTTTTTATTAGAAGAGGGGGGGGGGAGGATGGCTTTATTATCCCATCCCACGCTTAGTACGTTGTAGTTGTATATTACAATGTGTTGACATCTACCTTAAAAAAAATAAGTGCTCTAAAAGGTTACAAGCTAACGTAATTTAAGAATTTACAACAGAAAAACCACAGATGTCCAAAATGATTGTCTTGTTTTTAAAAGAACACTGAATAAAAAATACTTGTATTTAGCAGAAAAACTGCGTTTTATATATATATATATATATATATATATATATATATATATATATATATATATATATATATATATATATATATATATATATGTATATATAAATTATTATTATTATTTTTATAAAAAAGATACTTAAAATATGCTTTTCTCTTCATAGGTATGTTTATCTCCACCTTCTAAAAAAAGTAAAATTTTATCAAACCAAAATATTGCAAATCAAAATCTTGCTTGTAGTTCAAAATTACAAGCGAATGAAAATTTTGATCAATCACTCAATGTATTTTTTACTCAACAAGAATCAGAGAATCAAGAATCACGAGAGAACATGTTTATTTTAGAAAAAGATGATTTACAATTAAGGAGTGCTCTTGATGAAGCGACAGTCCAATGTAATAACGCAAATAGTTGTGAAAGTTCATTATGCTCCCCTGGCATTTTGAATAATACGCACACAGTTATAGAACCTTGTTCATCAGGTGATCAAGTTGTAAGTAAGGGATCAAGTCCTACCTTTAGCGGTAAAACTCGAAACAAAAACAACAATTCTAAAAAAATTAATGAAATGTCGTATGAATTACTTAGTTCATTGCTAGACCTTGCTGTAGTTGATAAACCAATTAGCGTATCTAGTAGAAGATCAAGGGCTCCTAAATGTATTCATAAGTTTATTCCAACCTGCTCAAATTGCTGTTATCATTTTCTCTACAAGGCAGTATCAGATTTTTGAATAAACTTGGGCTTGGGCTTTTAAAGTTGGGCTTTTAGTCCTTTTTTTACTGACCTATGATGGAATAAACAGTAATGATTATTATTACTATCTTTTTTTTATAGTTCTTACTATTATGTTATTTGTATATTTTATTTGTATATAATATTTATGTATTCTGAAATGTAAATGTGAACATGAAATGCAAACTAAAAACTAACTAGTAAACGCAAAATTAAAAATAAATTTTAATATCTCAATTACTTTACGTTATTAATGCAACATTTTCACATTCATTGTTCTTTAAAAAATGAATATTAAAATGTTACATTAAAAATATTAACAATTATTATTTAGACAATATACGTCATCTTTTTGCTCTGGCCATTTATTATATATGAATGATATTTCTTATTGTATTTTATTGGGTGGACACGGAAAAATCCGGTCAACTTTAAATTGAGATTTCTCCAAAACCACAAACGCTTTTTATTGAATTTTTTATTTTAATTAAACCTTACTTCCTTATCTTAAATGGTGTTGATAAATTTTTGTTTACAAACTAATGATTTGAAAAATGTTTTGGAAACAAGTAGAGGTGCGTAAAAAAGTTGTGAATTTTTTTTGCAAAAATCCATCGACTTCCTATCGCTTGATTGCTAAACGCACAAATATCCCAAAATCTACAGATATAAATATTATAAACAAGTTCAAGACTACTCAAAGCTTTGAAAGAAAACTTGGAAGTGGAAGAAAAAAAGCTTTCCATAAATCCAAAAAGGTAAAGTCGATTTTACGTTCATTAGCAAAAAATCCAAATCAGTCACAGCGAGGTCTAGCAAAAAAATTCAAGACTTCTCATTCTTATATCAAAAAAGTACTTAAAAATGCTGGAATTAAAGCATTCCATAAAAAAAATACACCTAAAAAAAGCTTAAATTGTGAAATTCAAGGAATTCGTCGCGCAAAGAAGTTGGTTAAAATAATGGGGAATACAAGTATGTGCATAATTGAAGACAACGAAACGTATTGCAAGGCGGATTTTTCACAACTTCCTGGTCAACAGTTTTACTATGAAAACAAAGATAAACCAATCGATGATCAATTTAAATATATTAGACGATAAAAAATTGCATCCAAGTTCCTTGTGTGGCAAGTAATTTGTAGCTGTGGTATAAAGTCCTCTTGTTTTGTCACTAAGAAGACCTTGACTGCCAATCTCTACATTAAAGAATGCCTCCAAAAAAGACTTATGCCTTTTATAAAAAAAACACAATTACCGATGTCTCTTTTGGCCCGATCTTGCTGCCTCTCACTATTCTGAAAAAGTTCTACAGTGGTGCAAAGATGATAATGTGAAAATTGTTCCTAAAGATGCGAATCCTCCAAATCGTCCTGAAGAGCGCAAAATTGAAGATTTTTGGGCAATAGTTAAAGGAGTTCTTCGTAAGACAGGCAGAGTAACAAATAATAAAGAGGACTTCCAAAAAAAGTGGATTGATGCCACCAATATGGTAAAAAAAGAAAAAATTTGTGAAATGATGGCATCAACCAATCTTGCCAAACAACCCATCAAGCCCTTTAAAATTAAGTTGAAACTCTAATTTTTGTAAAAACACATTTAATAATAAAAAAATTGAAATAAAAACCGTTTATGGTTTTTATTTCAATTTTTTAAAGTTTCCATCTCAATTTAAAGTTGACCGAATTTTTCCGCGTCCACCCGATATTAAACGGCAAAGAAAATAAATAAAAAATAAAAAAAGCAACTAATCTTGGCTATAATAGGTTAATTTGCTAAGGTGCAAAATATATTGTTAAATGCTTTTGCACGTTCTCAACGATTTTATTAGTTCAATTTAATATCGCAACCAAACTGAGTAGCAGTATTCTAATATTACCTTTTTTTTTTTTTTTTTTTTTGTTTACATTTGCCGTAAAATAAATACTATATTTTACAAGAACATAGAAAACAAGGCTTCTGAAAGAAAATCAACTGAGAACCTTTACAATTTTATCATATTATAAAAACTGAAAATATAAATCCAAAAACGGTCGTAAATTACGGCCGTATTATTATTACGGCGTAATAATAAATATATAATAATAAATTCATAATATTAATCACGTATCTGTAATAATAATTCTCACAAATCTGTTATAAAAATCCATATTAATAATTTTATAGATCTGTTATAAACTAAATTTATTAATGTAAATATTACTATAAATCTCATAAATCAAGTTTATACTTCAAGCTAATAGTAACTTAAAATGTCATCTATAGCAAGAATAAAATTTTTTAATTCATTTTTAAAAACAGAAAAACGGATAAAAGGATCAAAATTAGGCAGAACTATTTTATTCCAAAGGTAAGGTGCTCTATAATTAATACAAAATTTATTAAAATTTGTTCTACAAAATGGTTCATTTAGCAAATCTTTATTTCTTAGTAAGTACTTATTAGTAAGTTTTAATGTAAGCAGGTCGTTAAAAACAGGTAGGGATAAATCGTTTTTCCACATATAAGTAAAACATAAAACATTAAAAACGTTAAGTTTGTAGACATTAAGTATTTTCATTTCATCAAAGAAAGGCTTTGAATTTGAAAAGTGATCCACATAATTAATCACGCGAATCGCATGTTTCTGTTGGCGATATAGACGTTGTAGTTTACTTTTTTCGGTACTACCCCATGCAATATTTGCGTAGTTTATATAGCTGTGTATGAATGAGTAATAGAGCTGCGTAAGGCTTTTTTTACTTAAGTAAGGTCGGGCTTTATACAAAATGCCAATATTTTTAGATACCTTGGTGGTTATATGATTAATATGGTTTTTCCAAATAATATTCTCATCAAGATAAACACCTAGGAATCTTATAACAGAATCTCTTTTTTATTAGAGTTTCATCAATATAAATTTGAGGCATAATATCTAGTAAAGAACGTTTTTGTGAGAAGGAATGAAAAAGAATCCATTTAGTCTTGTTAGTATTTAACGTTAATTTATTACATTTAAACCATTTAGAAATGTTTATAAGTTCATTATTAGTTTTTGAGAAAAGTTTATAAACATCAGTGTGGGATTAAAATAAGTTAGTGTCATATGCATAAATAATACTCATCTGGTTAGAGGTAGGGGTGAACCAATGCATCGGCATCGGCCTGCCGATACATCGACCATTTAGCCGATGCATCGGCATTGGCCTTGATAACCATCGGCCGATGCCGATTGTTTTGAAATTTTAGAAACTTTATTTTTGATTCTGTGTTTCTATATTATATTTAACCATAGAATTACGTTATAAACATAAATACAATGTATAAGTCTAACTTATTAGTAAAGAATAACTTTTTTAGTTATTCTTTACAATCAAAATGTTTCATTACATTTATATTAAAATTAAATGATAAAAAAGTATATTATTAAATTAAAAGCGTTTAATAGATAAACATATAAAATAAGTATTGTTTTATATTTTAACTTCGTAAAAACATTTGCTACAAACTTGCCAATTATTAGAAGTAACGGCATTAAAATCTTCCATTCATTCTTTATTAAAAACAAAATCGTTCTAATTCGAACAAAATGGCGAAAGTAAATATTTATAAAACGAGTTTTTCAATTAAAGTAATTACTCTAATTGTCAAGATAACAATAAAAAAATAAATGGAAAATAAACTTCAACAATAACAATTTTAAAATGTCGCTTTCATCGTCACATGAATGGAATGTGGCATTTCTATTTAGGTGTATATTTCCATCATTAAATACATATATCCAGTTTCAGGGCCGATGCCGATGCATCGGCATCGGCCCTGAAACTGGATATATGTACCTATCGGCATCGGCCAAAAGAAGGCATCGGTGCACCCCTGGTTAGAGGCTTTGTTTAGATCATTGACATATATAAGAAATAGCAGCGGTCCTAGAATAGAACCTTGTGGAACACCACAGGTTATATTTAAGGATCTACTTTGAACGTCATTATTACTAAGACTACTTGCTTACGATTTGTTAAATAGCTTTTAAACCACGCTAAAGTATTATTGTTTAAACCGTAATATTTCATTTTTTGTATAAAAATATTATGGTCAACCGTAAATGCTTTTGATAGATCTATAAAAATACCTAATGTATATTGAGCTTTTTCAAAGGATTTGGAGATGTTGCGTACAAATTGAATAATGGCATGCTCAGTTAAACTATCCTTTTTGAAACCGAATTGATTGTTGTATAGTAGGTTATTGTAATTAAAATAATTGTTAACTCTGTTAAACATAATTCTTTCTATGATTTTGGAGAATACTGATAGGATAGAGATGGGACGATAATTATTGATATTGGATCTGTCGCTTTCTTTGTGAATTGGAATAATTTTAGCAATTTTTAAGCGCTCAGGGAAAATTCCTTGATGGATGGATGCGTTGAAGATTTTAAAAAGAATATTTTTAATTTGTTCATAGCAATCTATAACTATATTTCCGTTTATTTCATCAGGCCCAGTTGCTTTATTTTTTTTTAAGGTTTTAAAAGCTTTTTCAAACTTTTCAAAGGATAATTCGGACGATAGTTCATCAGAGCAAATGCCTTTATCAAGAGGTGCTAAAAAATCATAAAAAGAAGTTTTGGTAATTGGAATTTTATCTGATAGGGTTGGACCAGTTTCAACAAAATATTTATTAAACTCATGAGCTATAATTTGTGGATTGTAGAAAATTTTGTTAGCGATTTTAAGCATGTGTGGCAAAAAAATAGTGCATGTTTTTTGTTTTCCAATTATTTCTTTTAGTATTTGCCAAGTGCGTTTTACGTTATTTTTTGTTTCATTAATAGACCTTTTCATAAATATCTGCGACGGAGAAAGGAGATTCTTCAAAGCGAGGCAGTGTTTGTAATATTCAAAACAAACTTTGCGTTTATATAAAATTTTGTAGGGTTTAGAGGTGTTATGTGTTGGTGTTTTCTCTATTTTGTTTCTACAATTTCTATAACATTGTTCAAATCACTTTAATATTGTTTTTATAGTAGCAACATAAATAATAATTAAACTATGGAAATACATTCATTCCAAAAGTCGTCAAAACCTACGGGTTGTACAAAAACAAACCATGCAAAGCTTTGATAAAGAACGTTTTTTTGCTAAGGCTTAGCCTAAGCTCACTTATAATATAAATGAGCTTAGCAAAAAAACGTTCTATAACGTGTATATACATAA